CACACACACACACACATGCAAAACAAGAAGACTGGGCCACTGAGGTTGACTATGGCCTAATCACCTCAAACTTGGGTAAGCTCCGAGCCAAAGGGCTTTAATGAATAAAAGTGTACTGATGATTTACACTAACTCCGGGTCTTTCGCGGATCCTACCTGGATCACAATCACAATTTAAAAAAACGATACAATTTGACATACCCGCGAACTCGATAAAGGCAAGTCGAAGGCCATCGTCTGCGTCCCACTGTACTGAATGTATGATTAATGAGAAGTGTGGATTATCTGGAAGTCAACGCAACACCTAATTCAAGTTTGGTGTGCCAAACATTTTTGTTTCCCTATTTTTCGGACGAATTTTTGAAAATGCATTTACTTGCACAAAAGCATCATATTAGCTTTTCTATTGGTCCCGTACGAGGCAATTATTTGTTGTGAATTTTATTCGGTCTCATTTCGTATAAGAAAATTGGTAACACCTATATGTAAATAATAAAAGGAATTGTTTGTTTCCTACCCTCAGTTGTAATAAATTCTACAGGCAAAAATTCATAGTAAACTCGACTATTAGTTTCAATAAAATTAAAACTAAAAAGAATTATTACTCTCATATTCATCAAGCCTGTCGCGTGAGTATTTTCAAAATTTTCCGTTATAGCTACGCCTAGATTTTTGGTTTCAACTTTCTTAGATAAAAATAGCCTCAATTCATTTGTTTCTAAGCAAATAAATTATAGTGTCGTTTTCGGTCGTTAAAAATCGGTCGCGCAGACTTATGTAAGTTTTAATAAATTTGGGGCTAAGTGAGAAGTCGTTATACTGGCTTTGCGAGCTTTTAAATTCGACTCTATTCGTATTCTAGCCTAGATCGATCTGTTGGTATCCTATAAAATGTTCAAATTATACAGCATTATGGTTTTGTTAGTTTTTTAACTTTTGATATGTTATTTATTCAATATTGAGACCATAAATAGAAACTTGAGTTGTTTTTTTAAACTAGATTAGTTTTGCATAGGCGTGGGTGTTTGGCACCCTGTTTTATGTAGTTTTAGAGCGTTCTTGTGTTAACGATGGATTTGGTAATTAATCTATTATCATTATCCTAATATTTTCCTATTTATTTAAATTGAGGAGAGGTGGATACAAAAATGGAAACGTATTTTAAAGGGAACTCTATCTGTCACCTTGTACTATCTACCATACTTTTGTTTTGTTTGAATTTACTTAAAAATTGTCACGTCTAGTTTGTCTTATTTATCGTAATGTAATGTTATTGTTGCAGCTCGTGTGGTCAACTATCTGCGAGGAGGTGAACAAGCGTTGCGGCGGCGAGCGGCCGCGCACGCCCGCGCAGGTCAAGATGTGGTACGAGAACTATAAGAAAAAGTGTAAAATGCGCGCACACGATTCACAGGTAACACCAATATTTACTAAACTAATGCCCAGTTTCCCAGATATGTTTAACCATTCGTTAGTGATTTTGGTTCGATAAATTCTTGAAATGCGTTTCTGAACTACGTAACTTGAGTTTCACGTTACGTAGTTTACTACGTTATGATAAAATAAATAGAAACTCCAGAAACTCAGCATAAACTAAATACTGGCCATTTGTTGCCCACAATATATTTCAATGTAATAATATGTAATTACTAGCTTTCGCCGGCAAACAATAACAAAAACTCCATCCGCGTGGGATTAAAGGAACCAAAAGTAAATGTCTATGTCTTCATCCAGACTATCCTCTACGTCTATGCACAATTTCATTTATGATTGATGATCCGTTCAGCAGTTTAGGCTTCAAACTCTAACATCTATCTATCTAGACTTTCACATTTATAATATCAGTAAAATTTGGTTTTCGTTCCAGCAGCCAACCCCCGACGCGCCGTCTGGTATCCTCGATGGAATGCTGTGGCAGAGCATACACCCTCTAGATGTCAAAGGTAATATTCTTCTACCACTTGACAAAACGTCGCATTGTGGTACAAATGTTTTTATATGATTTAGATGAGGAGGGCGAGGCCACCACCAGCGTGGAAGGTTCGCACAGCATCAAGGATGACGACTGCATTCCCGTTAATGTAAGTCATCCATTATTTTACATCAATGACGTGTTCCCGCTAGGAGGTGATAGAGGGGATCATTTGTGATAATTTGACTACCAAATGCATTATGCAAAAGTTATTCATTTTTAAGTTTTCGTGATTTTTAGATATTTTTAAATAAGTCAAAATTCATCATCAAAAATTTATTATAAAACTATAACTATAACTTCATTTTTTCTCGAATTAAAAAAAAACATTAAACACTGAATATAGAATGTAGAAAAATCAATTATCACATAGTGTTAATGGTTTTTATAAATTTAATGAAAAAATAAAGCTATTATTGAGAGTTATTTTTAAATGAATTTTTGAAGCTGAATTTTAAATTATCTTATCAAAATCTAAAAGTAATGTTAACTGAAAATTGGTTAAATTTTCCGTAATGCATATGGAATCAAAGTTATCACAATGTTCCCCTTTGTCACCTCATACATTGTGGGGGGTCTTATTAGATACACTTTAATCTGAAACTTGAAGGATTTGATACAAAAGCGTATTGTCTGTAACTTTTTTAACAGATGTCAAACGGACGACTTTCGAGCACGAACGACAGCGACGACACGATGCCCAACGTCCTCGAGCCGCAGGTACAGATCATCCCCCAGTCCTCGCCCACCCCGCCCCCGCACAAGTCCGCCCCCAACCCCGCCATCAACCCCCTCACCCTCGCACCCCACATCCTAGCAAACCCCCTCCAAGCGCTGGAGCAGGCGAGAATACAGCAAAACTTCCTGCAAAAACTGAACGAAATGTCAAATACTCCATTAAATTTAAGTCACCTCGATGAAGAGAAGAGAAGGAATGGCCACGACAGGAGTCAAGAGAAGACTGATGAGCAAATAAAGCACGACTGCGGCACCGCCACCGAGGAGGAGAGGCTCTACTTCTCCGCCAAGAGACAGCACGCGATATGGGAACACGAGGCCAAAATGAAAATATTAAACATGGAGCTCAGACAAAAGGAAGAGATATTCTCACTCCAGAAACAACTCTTTCTTATCGAACTGAGATTGAAAATGGACTTTCTGGAAAAAGCGAGCGCGAAATAGCGACGCTAGAAACCTCTGGGATTCGGAATTCTTTACCCTTTTTAGGGTTGAAGTACTTTTAAGTGACAAAAGTCATATCTGTCACTGCCACTTTATACAGCCGTTCATATTTAAAATATTGATCCAAGGTTGTATGTGGAAGCTCATTTTGAAATAAGATGTAAGTGGGAAAATACAAATAATCGTAAGAGGTGTTGCCACTGAAGAAATTATTTTTATGAAATTGTACTTAATAAGTACAAACTGTCAGCTGGCTTCAAAAGTCGCTAGTTAACCTATGGGTTATGCTAACCATAAGAGTATAATTTGAATTTTTTGAAAGTGGCAACACTCCATATATTGATAATATTTTCACAATGTGCCATCATTTGTAGTTACGGATTTATACGCCTTTTGTTTTCATGCTTTTTAACCTTAATATAATTTTATTTGAGGAAGTCTGTCACATTATAAATGCATAGGACTGATTAAATTTCTACCTTCAGTGTAAGAAAATTAATAATGATATTAGAATATATCCAATATTTTTTTTGGAGTAATAAATGTGTAGGACTTCTGTATTTTTTTAAATATTCGCTTTCATAGAGTATTTGTTTTTTTCTTAGGAAAGTCAGTAAAAGTTGATGGTATATTTTTGGTACAATTTACTTGTATATTTCAGATTATGAAGTACTATTTATGTACCATACTGGAACTTTAAAAAGTATTTAGGGATGGTTTTTTTGATAAAAATTATTCCTTATTTGTTAAAAAAAGATAAGTATTTATACATTTTTGTGTTTTTTCGCACAAATTGTACCAAATATGGGTTTGAAATGTGATTGATAAGAAAAGATAAGATATTTTTGTAATTTTTATTTTGCATAGCTTATTTTTTAACTTTTTTTAAATAGTTTTTAGTGCATAAAATGTGCTTAAGTTTTATTTTCTAGTATTATTTTTCACCTTGTAAACGGCAGCTGTGCATAATATTATGTAATTTTCAACAACTGCCAAATATTTTGAATTTCGAGTAATTGTTATATTTTTAAAAAGTTTTTTAGTACTTACGTACTTAGAATTTGAGTCCTTTTAGTAAGGGACATTGTAATTTTTTTTTCACTTTAGGATAGAAACGTACTGCGCGACACAATAATGCCTAGTATCTTGAACAAAGCCATAAGTTTAACTTAGTCTGGTAAGATTAATCATTGTTGTGTGTTGTATTTATTGTAAGGGATTTTTTTAAAGGCAATGCAATTAATAATTAGGAAATAGAAGTTTGACAGCTCGTGGACTATAGAGAATTATTTATTGTTTTATATTTTTTTTTGTTTAATTTCTCTTGGTCCTTAATGTTTTAAGTCTAGTGTAGTATCAGTATTTTGGTACTAATTGTCTAAATTAAAAATACATAAGCTTTTCGCTTTAATCGGTGACAATATTGCGTTTGATTTATATATCTACAGATATAAGTGTTCGTAACGCAATTTTCAGTCACTAAAATACCGTCCGTCAACTAGTGTGATAGTTTTTTGTCAGGACGGAATTGGTTAGGAATCAAACGTCGCCAGGGAAAAGCAACAGCCCCCTCCCCCCTCCAATATCTATAATATTGTAAAGAGGAATGTTTTGTAATTTTAAATTTTCGTATGAAATAACTCGAAAACTACAGGGCAGTTTCAAAATTATTTCACCATTGAAAGGCTACATTTATGTATAACATAGGCGATATTTTTATTTATTTTTACGTAGACGAATGTAAAATAAACAAATGAAACCATTATAATTTGTAGTCCCTCCCCCCCCCCCTCTAAATAGCTGGCGATGCCCATATTAGGAGTTATCCTTACAATATCTACTTCACACGACATAATACTATTCGAGTCAGCGATGTGCCAACAAACCATTGTTATATTAATAAATAAAATTTATAGTTATTACATACATAAGATGTTATTACGAAATAATATACGTAAAAAGGCGTAGACAATTATTCGTAAAGAGAAATAATTCGAGACATTATGATATTAATATTTTAGAATGGTTTAATGTAGAAAATGAATAATAAATTTGAAAACAGTACAAAGAGTTTATTAGAAAAATGTCATTACCTCATTCAGACAGTGTATTGTAAATAAGTTAAAATAGGGTTTTGATATAGTTGTAAAGAAATTTTTAGAAAACCTTTTTATAGGACGTTTATTTTTTTGTCGATTTTTTGTTACCCTTAATATTTGAGGTTGGGTTGCCAGGAAAATATTTCGCATCGGCAAGGGAAGTTGAGATTAAAAAGTTAATTCACTCGAATTGTTCCTTTTATTTACATTATTATGGCAACTTCGATAAGATTTTTTTTCTTTGATAAAACAATATTGTGATGTAATTTACTAAGATCTCAGTACAGGTATATAAAATTAATGTTTTATGGATAATGAAGACCTTTTTTTTTCCTAAATTGAAAACAAATTGTACAAGCAATATATCGTGTTTTGTAAGACGGCAGTTTTAATTCGAAACATTGTGTAATTAATCTGATTTAATTGGATATTATTGATTATTGAATAAAGAATTTATTTTCTGTTTCGGTGTTTTTCATTTAACTGATTTTTACAACATAAACAGATATACGGAGATTGTGATAGTTTAGAACAAAGAGATTCAAAAACTATATTCTGGAAGCATAGTTGGCACTTCATTTCGGCCATTTTTCACATGATCCATTTGACGCTATCTATTAATGGCCAATAACAATAACGTTTATACATTATTTTATAATACTGTTTAGTTTATTTCGTGATAAAAGTTAGACCCCATTATAATTCTGTCAAGTCTATGTATTTCTTAAATGTCTATGGTTTAAAAATAAAAATTGCATAGGTTATTTCAAGCTTTTATTTGATTTGTATTACCGTACATCACTGTGTCTTAAACATTAGGATGTAATAAAATTTAGGCACGATACGGAAATCAGAATACAAGAGCAGTCTTAAAGGCACGCAGTAAATACGCATTTATCACTGTTTTCATTCCTGAAACATCTGTACAAAGCATCCTGTCATCTCTCATTGTCTTTGAAAATAAACCAGAGACAATTTTATTTTTTGTTCAGTTGTTTCGACAACGCCCACAGATATTAAACTCTTCAATAATAGATATCTTGATAAAAATAGATTATAAACAATGTAGTATATTATTTAAAACATTTAATGATTGTTGGTCGATTTATATGAAAATAGTTGAGGTAGATAAAAGTCGATGGAAATCGATTATTTTAAAAAATATCATTTATAATTATAAAGTGTTCCGATTTCTATCCTTAATAAGTACGTTAGTTGATGCCAATGTTGATTACTGCAGATTAAATTAATAAAATGCACCATGCTATAGACACAATTAATATTGACTATATTAAACATCTAAAACTATAAATAAAATTAGAGTATTACAAATAAAATACAGTCTTAGTTACAACCATTGGCTGCTCTGTTAGAAGACGGTTGCTTAAAAATATATATAATGTATTTATTCAAATCGATATAAAACTACAAACTTGCTGTATTTAGACAGTATACAGCACATACCAGATATTTTATATAGCAGTATATGTATGTAAAAATATACAAACAGGAACAACTGCAAAAATTAATTAACATTTAGATATGTATTCGGTCAAAATTATTTACTTATGCAACTTAATTATTAAGTAAAATTTAATACATACATAAGATGGTGTAAACACTCCATTAATGATAAAATTAATAAAACCACACTGATACATTTAAACTATTTAAATGTATAACTTAATAACTAAACGGATTCATGATTTTATATCAAAATTCAGAAGTATATTAATTAAAATATCGGACAAACATACATTTTTCCAGATCAACGTTGTTCATGTGAACCTTGTAACAATGATAACAATGATTCGGTTTTTTTTTATTTCAAATATTGACTTTAAATACCAATAAAATTGAACATTATCTATGCTTCTTCACATTTATATGAACCACAGACTACATAAAAACATTATGCTGAATTGAACTACTGGTTTTAGTTACTTAAAAATCTATGAAGGCAAAAGTAATCAAAAATGCAACTTGATTGTTTTAGAGTGCGCGCACACTTTGGACTAAGCTATGGCACAACTGATTAATCGCGCTTTGAATCCTATGAACTGATATGGGGGTTTGCACACTACTAGATTTTTAGTTGTGCAACTAAACAGTTGAATTGGCTGCGAAACACTCTACAATCGCACAACAGTTGTGCGATATTTTAAGTTAAGATGTGCGCTCACTTTAAAACAAATCTATGTTATTAATGCATTTGCACCATGTATGATTGATAAAGTAACATCTTTTTGTAAAAACATAGTATCTTTTTCATGCATTTTAATATGTGCTTTGAGAGCATTGGCTTTGCGGAATGCTTGGCCGCAACTGGAACAGACGAAGGGGCGCTCACCTGTGTGGCAGCGAATGTGTGAAACCAGGTCTTGTCGTTGGGCAAACGCTTTTTCACAATGTGAACACTGATAAGGTTTTTCACCAGTATGTCTACGCCGATGGTTCTTTAAAGTTCCAGATGCGGTGAACTTCATGTCGCAAAGGTCGCAGGCGTAGGGTTTCTCTCCAGTGTGAATGCGGCGGTGTTTGCTTAGAGAACTCGATGTGGTAAAGCTGTTCCCGCACTCGTCGCACACGAAGGGATGCGCGCCGCTGTGCTTACGATTATGAGCTACCAATTCGCCTTTTGATACAAATCTGTGGAAAGAAATGGTTCCTTAACTATTATCAATATTCACTTAGAAAACTTTATCTAAAATATTTGTTTATTGTCAATTATGTTTACTAAACATATTGTCAAATACTCCCACTGTTAGCAAGTGTAATAATTTTTTTTAAAAGAATAGTTATTGTTAGTAAATTTTAAAAATGTACACTTTCATAACAAACCTCTGTTCACAATTTTCACACTTAAATGGCTTCAGCCCTTGGTGTCGCCGCATGTGCTGAGTTAAATTATTCTTCTGACTGAAGCCCTTACCGCAATCCGAGCACAGAAAAGGTTTCTCTCCAGTATGGGTCCGTATATGATCCTTTAAGGTAGATAACACGTAAAATGCTTTGTTACAAACAGGACACTGATGTCGCTTTTCTATTTTATGAGCTTCACGGTGATTGTCTAGACTTTCTTGTGTTGAAAAGTTTTTAGCACAATATTCACATTTGAAACCGCTTTCTCTAGTGTGAACTGATAATATGTGGTTATCTAAATGTGCCTGGTGTTGAAACTCTCTTTTACAAGTGTTGCAAGTAAACTTGACACCCTCTTTCACTTTGTGAGTCTTCATATGTGCAATGTAAGAATTCTTATATGTAAATCTTCTTAAACAAAGTGAACAACTGAATTTATCTGTAGAATGCATGTTTTCAATTCGATGCATACGGAGATGTATTTTATATGTCTTTATAGAAATAAACTTTACATTACATTTTGGACATACTGATTCAACTTTTTCATCAATGTTTTTCTTTTTAACTTTACGTACCCTTGTCATTCTAACATTATTGCAAGTATCCTTGCACATTTTCTTGTCATAATGTTCTTTGTATTTATCACAATTGTCAAAAATAGCCTCACATTTACACTTATATAATACATTTGACTTATTAGTAGTAACTTGCACTGTTTGATCTGCTTCACCCTTTATGTTACAATCTAGTAATGGACTTTGTAAGTCTTCCCTACTGTCTGCAAATCCAAATTCTTCATCAACCTCATCTTTAGGTTTAAATTCTATATCATTGTCGTTTTCAAGCCCACAATTATCGTATAGAGATGTATTCGTTGGATAATCAGAATCTTGCGTGATAGCTTCGGTTAAATTTACATCTTTCATTAGTTGGTTGTTGGCAAAACTGTGGCTAGTTAGTACATGGGACTCTAGGAGAAGCAAATCGGAGAATTTCTTAGTACAAACACTACACTGATAAGGTTCATCCATACACAACTTAGTAATAGACACATCTTTAATGAATTTATTATCTTGACTCATTGGAATGTTAACGTTGCTTTTGGTGTAATAAGCATCGTCTAAAGAACCTTCAGACTGAATACACCGCTTCTTGAACTGATCAAACTTAATTATAACAGTATAACACTCTTCGCAGACTTGTTTTGCGTATGCATCACTTTCAGAAATGTAAAGATTTAATATAAAAGAAAGACCCTCTGCTATTGTCCTATCGCCACTTTCCATTTTGCTCGTTAACAATTTCATATTGTTGCTCTTGCATTGACATATTCTACAAACGAGATTTAATTTATCTTCTTCTATTGGAATATCCATTTTAAAATTAATAAAAATGTTAATTCATGAAATTATTCATTAAAGCAACAGTCAAATAAAAATTACAAATAGTGGCCAAATGTCAATGTCAATATAAATGCCATTTGTCAATGGTTGTGGTGGCAACCAAAGAGCATGTACAGACAATAAACCCATGTTACAATTGGTCTATACAAATGGATATGAGATTAAGACCAACAATTTATAGCCTGTCCATTTACAAAGGTGATATTGATCAAGTTTTATTTTAGCAAATATCAATTTCTTTTTTAAATTATTATACTTCGTGTCCATGTTCTCAAGTTGCAAAACCATTTTGCAAACTATCCAAGTACGTATACGTATTAGGGCATATCAGTCAGTGCAGTGCAGGGCAGTCAGTCCAGTGTTGTCAAAGAGTGCATACGCGTGTTAGTGGT